AAAAAAAAAAAAAAAAAAAAAAAAAAAGTAAGGTGTTATTGGAACACAGCCATGCCCATTCATTTACATACTTTTTGTGATTGCTTTCACCTTACCACAGCAGCGTCGAGTCGTGGCAACAGAGACCACTCTGTCTGGCCTGCAAAGCCCAATATATTTGCGGTATGACCCTTTACAGAAAACAGTTTGCCAATTCCTGGTTGCCTGTGGTACTGCAATAGTCTCCTCCCTGGTTTCCCTGGTTTTCTATCTTCTTCCTCCTTGAACTCATCCTCACCACCCCTCCTCCTGTGCCGGGGGAATCTCCCTAAAATGTGCCCTTAATCATGCCTATTTGCTCCTCGTGGTGCATTGAAGACTAAGAACCTAGACTTCCACGTACTGGTGAGCCCCATACCAGGCTTCTTCTCTGGCTGTAATGAATGCTTTACGCCCTTTCTAGCCTGGCACACGCTGTTTTTCTGGTCTGAATACCCGCCTCTTGCCCCTTGTCCATAACGACAAGTTCAGCGTTTACTTCTCTGAGAAGCACTTTCTGACTTCCACAGGCTGAACCAACGGCTTCTGCCCCTTTATGGCTTCAGCAATACTTCAACTTCAGCATTTATCCACAATTTCATGATCATGGGTTTAAATGTCTGCCTTGTGACTGCTGTGGCTTCCTCTCAAGGTTAGGAACATACATTTTTCACTTTTGTATCTGCAGTGCCCAGACTGGGATGTGGCCCTTAGTAAGCGTCCTTTAAGTTGTTACTGCCTGCTGGCATCTCAAATGGGGTTTGAAGGCTTACATAAGGAGTTTGAGGAGTATGGGAAAGAGGCAGGTCAGGAGAGAGGTGGCACCTTAGCTAACACCTGGAGGATAAAACAAGATGATGGGAGGGAGAAGGCAGTAGGAACAGAGTTGTTTAAGCTGATGAAACCTGAAAGAGGTGTGTTGGAGAGATGATGAGATGAGATAGGGGGCATGTGAGGGGATGCTGGAAGATAGTCTAAGAAGAGAGGTGTCAGGCCCGTACTCTACACAGCCTCCTTTGCTGTGCTGAGGAGTCTGGGCAAGGGAAACCATGAAGGGCTGCAGGAAGCAAGCACCATACTGTCTGTTCGTGTGTCGGTCTTCTGGAAGTCCTTTGAGGCATTGACTATGTTTTTGTTTTGTCGTCATTCAGTCCTGCACGCACACAATTTCTGGCATATCATAGGCTCTCAATAAACGTGTCTTTCATCATTGAAATATAAGAAAACTCCTCAGTTTTAAGAGTGGGGTAGTCTCTGGTGCTTAGTATTTTCTTAGAGGATGAACATTTGGTCTGTCTGCGACTTTCATAAATTTAAGAACTTCAGTCATATTTCACCTCAGTCCTTGGATTTTCTGCTTGAAAACTTCCCATTAGGAAAAAAGTCTATTCTCTGTTGGAAGGTTTGAATTTCTTGGATCTTTTTCATTGACTTTTTCTTCTTCAACTCTGTTTTGTCTTTGTTGAGTTAAGGCTTTCAAGAGCACCAGAATTCTTTCCTCATCTGCAAAACCCGAGGCAGATCAATTTATTTCTTGTGATTTTGGTATTTCCTCCTAACAAAAATCTTAAATGGAGCTAGGAGAAATAAACTCTGATTTGCAAAGCATGCCAAAGATGGTGCCTCACAGGTGGAATGCAAAGCCTTTATTAATGATGCCCAGACTAATTCTGTCTTTAGCACAAGGGCTCAGAGAGCCAGCAACTTAGCAGTTTTGTGGGGTGGGGGTGGGGGGCGTGTCAATGAAATAAATGGGGTCGTAAAATATGCCTAGACAATTGGATAAAACTGGGACTTAGGGGGACTCCTGCACTCCAGGAAATTCTCCAAGTCTCCATTTATCCTCAAAATGAACAAGAAGCTTAAGTTTCAAATTGAGTGCATTTTCCATCCATGGATTGGCTTGTTTTGTTCAGTTTTACTTTGAGTATTTGAGGTTATCTTTTCGACGTAACAGCTAAACCCACGGTTTCCTTTCTCGTAAAACCAAAACAAAAAGGCTAGAAATTCAGGTGCCTTCTGTGTGTGCACATGTGTAGTACATACCTGGGATCAAAGCCAGCTATATAAAGTCCTTGATTCTGTGTGGGTTCAAACACATTTCAAAGCTTCAGGATCCTGAAAGTTTTCGCTCTGCTTCCTGAAGACCTGAACACCGCTCCCATAAAGCCATGGCTTGCTTTGGATTCCAGAGTCATGGGGCTCGGCTGGACCTGGCTTCTAGGACCTGGCCCTGTACTGCCCTGTTTTCTCTTCTCTTCATCCCCGTTTTCTCTAAAGGTGAGTGAGGCTATTGGAGCATGGAGGTGGAGGAGGTGTTTCTCCCACCTGGGTTTCATTCCTTTTAGCAGTCAAGGGCAGTGATTTATAGCAAATCCAGAAGCTAAAGGTGAGACTCCAGTGTCCTGGCGTGGGCAGCTCTGTATTCCAAGGCAGGCAGGGGACAGCTGGCAGCAGCATATCAGCAGAGATACAGCTCTTAGCAGTTGGCTGGGCATGGAGTGGGAGCTTAATGAATACATGTGAGTTGGTCTGGAAGACATGAGCAATTTCAGACACTTCTATAAGATTAGAAGAAAATACTGCAATGTTAAGTGGTTTAAGAGAGAAAAGATACCAACCATCCTAAATCCATTTGGGCTTGGAATCAGGGTTAGCTCAAGATTTCCCTTTTTCTGACTTACTTCACTCTGTATGACAGACTCTAGGTCCATCCACCTCATTACAAATAGCTCAATTTCGTTTCTTTTTATGGCTGAGTAATATTCCATTGTATATGTGTGCCACACCTTAAGTCAGAAAGAGAAAGACAAATACCGTATGCTAACACATATATATGGAATTTAAGAAAAAAAAAATGTCATGAAGAACCTAGGGGTAAGACAGGAATAAAGACACAGACCTACTAGAGAATGGACTTGAGGATATGGGGAGGGGGAAGGGTAAGCTGGGACAAAGTGAGAGAGTGGCATGGACATATATACACTACCAAACGTAAAATAGATAGCTAGTGGGAAGCAGCCGCATAGCACGGGGAGATCACCTCGGTGCTTTGTGACCACCTAGAGGGGTGGGGTAGGGAGGGTGGGAGGGAGGGAGATGCAAGAAGGAAGAGATATGGGAACATATGTATATGTATAACTGATTCACTTTGTTATAAAGCAGAAACTAGCACAGCATTGTAAAGCAATTATACTCCAATAAAGATGTAAAAAAAAAAATTTCCCTTTTTGAAGAACACTGATTTAGGCAAATTATGGGAAGTTTTTTTCCTACCCAATTCAAGGTTTTAAGGTCCTCTGATTCACTTTTATAAACGGATTAGCCTGCTTGTTTAAACTTTCAGCATTCTTTACTCAATGCAGGGTTTTAAGGTCCTCTTAATCAACTCTATAGTTAGCTAATTATTTTAAAAAATGAAAGCAATTTGGAGTAGTAAAACAAACAAACAAAAAAAGAAAAAAGAAAGGAAGAAAGAATGAATGAATGAAAGAACAAAAGAATGAAAGAAAGAACGAGCCATAGGTCAGTTTGGCATAAGATACTTAATTGCTGCCTGACTTATCTCTGGACTTTAGGTGCAGATTCCCCAGTTTTCAGATGAAATAAAGCTCTTTAGAGGTTGATACCTGGTCTGTTACAATGGTGTGAAATGGTGACTGTTTTACCAGAGGGTGAATTTCAACCTTCTCTCCCTCTAGAGCTTCTTGGTTGAAAAACCAAGCGGTTTATACAAAGTAGGTGCGCAAAAGATATTTGATTATTAATTTTTACTGTACAAGAAATATTCATACACGTTTTCTTATTTTACATGTTTTGAACATGTAAAGTTAAATAACAGAGAAAGAATCAAATTTACTTTTAAGAAAATTTATCTCAACCTGTAACTGGGATCCTCCCATGGTGGATATTGGAAAATTGTGTAACCAGATTTAGTGGTGATAATTGGGAGCTTGCCTCGGGGGAGGGCAGGAAACTTGGTCTTCTTTAAGCTTAGAGTCAACACAACAAATGGGCAGGATATAATGATTAATGCACAAAAAACCTTTAATACAGGGCTGAATTTGATTCAGTACTGCGGTGGAGTTATAATAGTACAAAGGATGCTCAGAGGGCATCTCTGATAGACAGAAATGAGGGTTGGGAAAGAAAACTACTGTCTAGCCAACCAGGGCTGCTGGATTAACCATGGCAATGGTTAATGGCTGCTGCCATATTGTTCTCTCTTCTGAGGACACAGGTTGCCTACTACAGGTGCCTGGGGGAAAGGACTAATGTTTTCAGAATAAAGTGATTTATACACAGGAAGAGGTGTCCTGGAAGCTCAGATTGGAGTGGTAAGCTGGGATCAGATAATGGAGACAGTGGAAGTCATTTGCTTTTGTAATCAGTGGTATATAAGGCATGAAAGGGTTTGAACAGAATGAGTGACATGGTTCAGTCCAAGTTTTGAGTGTCACTTGTGTGATTGATTGACTAGAGAGGGGCCCAGTTAGTTACAGGAAAATAATTTGTCATGAAGCCACCATTTTTTAGATGACGTGAGCCCTTTTGTATGGAGAGCTGGCCTCCCTTCTCCTGTAGAAGCCAGAGGGAGAGGAACAAAGGAACACAAGGCGTTCGAGTGAAGGAGAGAGGGCGGTGGAAGAGGTGATGACAGTGGCAGGGGAAGCCCATAGAAGTGAACAGCAGGGTTGCCTCAGCCTACAGAGGAAATGACCCGGTGCCCTCGTCTCGGTTGCTTCCTTCATCAAGCAGCATCCCTCATTCTCTGGTAATAATGCAGGGAAGGGGGCGGCCGGCACTGTGGGCCAAGGCTCAGCTCCTCGTGGGCGATTGAGGTCCAGGCCCAGATCAATGCGGGTAGAGGTTATTAAGGTATACTTTGAGGGATAAAGCAAGACTCTATACCTCAGCCTCCAAACTTTCCCTTACTACTCTTATAGGACCTACAGCTGTATCATAACCTTAGAATACCGGAGTGGGAAGGCACTCTGATGTCATCTGATCTAATCCCCTCTTTTGCATGTGAGGGAAAAATGAAGCCCACGGGGGAGGCATGGCTTTCCCCAAATCACCAATTTCACGGTAGAGCCAGCCCTTCTGTTTGTCACATCAGTGTTCTTCAAGCCACAACCAACTGCCTTCAAGGCACTGTTTTCCAATAAGGAAGCACCTTCATGGAGAGTAACTGGAAGACACTGGCGAGATGGAGGGGCTGCTGGGGTGGGTGGAGAAGGAAAGGGGTCGGGGAGGGTGATGGGTTTGTCGATGGGGGGAGAGAAAGGCTGACAGGTGAAACTGGAGGGGGCCATCAAAGATCAACTTTGCCCGGCCTGAGGGTTTTGCCTGGACCTGGTCATGGGCGAGCATGAGTTCATTGAGTTCCCTTTGGTTTTCCTGCTTTAGGGGTGCACGTGGCCCAGCCCGCAGTGGTGCTGGCCAGCAGTCGGGGTGTTGCCAGCTTCGTCTGTGAATACGGGTCGTCAGGCAAAGCCGCCGAGGTCCGGGTGACGGTGTTACGGAAGGCGGGCGGCCAGGTGAACGAAGTCTGCGCCGCGACCTACATGGTGGAAGATGAGCTGACCTTCCTGGAGGATTCCATTTGCACTGGCACGTCCAGTGGGAACAAAGTGAACCTCACCATCCAAGGGCTGAGGGCCACGGACTCCGGGCTCTACATCTGCAAGGTGGAGCTCATGTACCCGCCACCCTACTATGTGGGCATGGGCAATGGAACCCAAATTTACGTCATTGGTGAGCATCATTTACGACGCCTTTTGCATTGCTGTCTCTTCTCTGTGTGCAAACAGTTTTGCTCCTTGATTTCAGGTCCTTCATATTTAGGATTGTGAGAATTCTCTTTAAGAGTTCTCTGGCATACTGCATGAATCCTACTCAGTACGGGTGGTGAGGCAAACGACATTCTGTTTATAAAATAAAATGAGTTGGAGAAGGTGTTTTTCCTCCCGGCAGGTTGGGGACTCACACTGGAGTGATACCTAGCATGAAATTTGGCCTTGGCCTTTGATCTGAAACTCCTGGCAAAGTAGCCCCAACAGTCAGACTTACCTGGGGTCCAGCGATTCCAATTAGGGGTGGACATCAAGGTCTGGAAGCTTGAATTTTTTCCTTCTCTCACCAGTGGGGGGAGTACCGCCCTAGAATTTAGAAGGCATCTCAGGGAAGTTCTGCTTTGTTCTCTGTTGCAGATCCAGAACCATGCCCGGATTCTGATTTCCTCCTCTGGATCCTGGCAGCAGTTAGTTCAGGGTTGTTTTTCTACAGCTTTCTCATCACAGCTGTTTCTTTGAGCAAAATGGTGAGTGCGGTGCCGATAACGCACCACCCTTGGTCAGAATACCTTTAGTGATAACAACTGGCCAAATGACGCTGTGGAGTCGAGTTTTCTTGAGATGAAGCAATAAATGAAGAAGAGGAAGGGCAGTGGTAAAGAACACACTAGAACCCTTGGCATTGGCCTTTGAGGTTTCAGGATGACTAATATTTTATATGAGTGTGTTTGCCATTGAATGTTTGTGTGCTTTTGCACAGGGTTTCATTTTGAGTAGCTGAACAACACGGGGTAGCTGTTTTGCTCTTTATCTTCATGACAATTGTACTTAAGTTAATAACCCCGAAACATAAGATTAGGTTGGGCAAAATGATGCTGGAGAAGACCACAGGGGTGGTTAATGTCCCTCTACTTTACCTGGAAAGACACTTTACTCTGTGTCACCCTACTTGAGCCTTCCTTGACCAAGCTGTAGGCGTCCACGTAACACATGCGCAGGGCTCCCTGTTACCCAGTCCTCCAGCCCAGTAAATGAGAACCCAGTTTTCATTGACTACAGTTGTCATAGAAGAAGCAGAGGTATGGGATCCGGACTTCTGTCAAGATTTCTCACAGTCGCTTGCAACCTCCTTTGCCTGAGGCTGGCTTTGCCATTCACAAACCTCTCCCTCCCCTTCCTCTCTCCCCCCACTCCTCTTCCACTCCCTTACTCCCTCCCTCTCTCCCTCCCGCACCCCTACACTCTATTCCAAGATCCTCTACTCAATCTGTTCTGCTGTTGTAGCTTCTTTCTACCTCATTTGCTACAAAGTGCCACACTAACTGGTAGACTAGACCTCAATTTAACCGAGGTGATAAAAACTGGGAACTAATGTGGACCGAGAAAAAAGTAATAAAGAGTATGTGAGGAGTAGAGATGAGACATACTGCTCGCAAAGAGAATAATTGAAGTTTATTATCTTATCAAGCTCATCCCCTCACAAACAAGATCCAGTCAATTATCATAGGCATTTTGGGTGTTCTTTCTAAAGCTTTCTTGAAGTTTCTTTCTGCTATCTCCCAGTCAGGGAAAATGATTTCTATCTCAAGTCAATAGCACAGAGTTATTTATCCGAAATGAATTTTAATAGCTGAATCAAGAAAATCTCCTGGGGCTTATAATTCTGTATGTTGTGAACATCTATTTTTCAGTGGGGTAGGAACCCAATATTTGTTGAATCCTGTTATAGTTAGAAGTGGCTTCTGTATTCCTCGATACTAATTACTGTTTCTTTTAATGTTTGGCAGCTAAAGAAAAGAAGCCCTCTTACTACAGGGGTCTATGTGAAAATGCCCCCAACAGAGCCAGAATGTGAAAAGCAATTTCAGCCTTATTTCATTCCCATCAATTGAGAGACCATTATGAAGGAAAAAGACTATTTTCCAATTTGTAAGAGCTGAGGCAATTCTAACTTTTTGCTATCCAGCTATTTTTGTTTGTTTGTGCATTTTGGGGGATTCATCTCTCTTTAATATAAAGCAGGATGCAGAACCCAAATTAAGCGTACTACAATTTAAAACAAAGGAGCAGAAAAACAGAGCCGGGCTGGTTCTGTCACATCTGATCCAATTTTAGTAAAAGCATCACTTGGGAGCAATATGGGGATGCAGCATTACAATGTGGAGTCAAAGACATAAGTTAGGGAATGGTACAGTCCCAAGAAAGGAAAGGAAGAAGTAAGAGCGAGGATGGTATTGTATACATCTTGTATTTACCTGTGAGAAGTTTATAGCTGAAATGATGTTTTCAAGTAAAATTTTTATGCTGTGTTATTTTTCTTAACAAATATATAATTACATAAAGACTTAAAAAATACTCACATGGCTATATTTTAGCCAGTGATTCCAAAGGTTGTATTGTAACAATATGTATTTTTTATTTGATAGTACTGTGCATGGGGGCCACGTGTGCTTTTGTGTATTTGCTGGTAGTTTGAATATAAACACTATATGGCAGTGTCTTCCCACCATGGGTTCAGGGGAAGTTTTATGGAGAGACTCAGGACACTAATACACCAGGTAGAGTACAAGGTTACTTGCCAACTGGCTTGGAAACTGGATAAGGTCATAGCTGATTCTTGCAGACATGTTGGGCTGAGTTGGTGCTGACATGGGCTTTGGGCTTTTATGCCAACTCCGTCCACTGGTTTGCAAGGAAACCAAAGCTGGTGGTATCTGAGTTAACTTGATAGAGCACCATCATCATCGAGAAAATGGCTCATTTCAGGAGTCTTGTGGGTATGAACCTCAAGGAAGCTCCAGTTCCATGGGGGCCCCAATTCCTTACACATGGTTAATGCCGCAGACAGAAAAAAGCAGCAGATGGCAGAACAGGATGCGAAGGTCTCTGAAAACTAACACTGTTGGTGTTTTTTAACTTGATATTTTCCGTGAAAATGCAACAACATGTATAATATTTTTAATTAAATAAAAGTCTGTGGTGGTCGTTTTCCACAGTTGTTTGTGACATTCCTTATATGTGAGTATTGTGTTTGAGTTTATTTTTGGTTGATTCATTTAGCAGTTGGTTGAGTCTCCAATATTAGGAATACTGAGAACAAATCGAAAAAACCAAAAAGTGGGGCTTCCCTTGTGGGGCAGTGGTTGAGAGTCCGCCTGCCGATGCAGAGGACGCGGGTTCGTGCCCCGGTCCAGGAGGATCCCACATGCCGCGGAGCGGCTGGGCCCGTGAACCATGGCCGCTGAGCCTGCGCGTCCAGAGAAAACCCAAAAGGGCAAATAATGCTTCATGAATCAGCCCTTTACCTGCAAGCCATTCTTGGAAGGAATTCATCCTCTGTCCTTTTGATTGCTTCCCCACTGTTTGGGATATGAAGCGATCTACCGCAGCTACAGCAGCCCTTGATAAATCACACAGCGCTCTCTTTAACACAGGTTCTTTACCCCCTCTTTCTTACCCAGACCTTTCCCAGCTCTACTCGAGCACTGATTACAGTTGCCATGGCAACTCCAGTGTTGTCAACCGTGGTCCTTGCAGCCATTTTGCTCTTCTTCTGTGGTAAACGGAGCTTTCCCTTGCAGCTTCCAGAGGGACTCTTTCACAAATGTGAGGAACACATCCCCTCTGTGATTCTTGGTTAACCGGTATGTAGCCTCAGCCTGTTTGGTTTCCACTTAAGCGTTCTCATTCCTGACCTCCACATCCTGTTGTTGTTTTGTGCAACGATTCTCAGGGTGGCCAGGGATCACCTATAACTGAATCGACTGGGTCACTTCCTAAAAATGCTGATTCAAGTGCTTAACCTCAGATGCACTGAATCAGAACCTTTGGGCGATGGGGCCAGGAGTTTGCTCTCCCAACAGCCTCCTCAGCGCTTCTTAGACCCCTCAGGTTTTGAGGACTGCTGTTTAGGCAGCTCTCTCTCTCTTGCTCACTAAAACTCTCTCTTTTTTTGCAAGCAAGTGCTAACAAACAAATGAGAGAGCACATAGTGAGCATTCCAGAAAGATGTGTTAAATAAAAAGGAATAGGTCTTCCAAATATGGTAATGGCACTTACCTAGAATAAATTCCTGCTATGCAGAAGACTGTTTCTCTTGATTTCTTGGTCTTTGGTTGGAAGCCATGAAGAAACACACAGTTTATGAGGCCCAACGGATAGTCTGATACCATTTCTGCTCCTCCAAATGTCTTCTCCATAGTTGATGGAAGATCTAAATGACAGAGGGCCTTAGGCAAGGGATCTCTCGGGCATCTTTCAGACACCATTAGACAATGGACTACTTTACATAAGCTTAATATCTCCTCTACTATTATCTGAAATTCTACCATTAGCTATTCATTGAGTTAAGCATTGCCTACTTCACTCAGTCTCAATTTTGAAGACATATTAATAAAATACTCTTCGGCTCCAAAGAGTTTCTCCTATGATAGAAGAAATAGGCAAGAAAGACTGTGACCTGAAAGGGTGGAAAGCAAATATGGGCTAGGGGTGTCTGGGGACCAAAGGAAAGCCTTTTCTAATCCCTAACTTGTTTATGAGGGTAGATCCATTGTCTGCAATACTCAGAGAGATGCATAGCACTCAAATCAGGGGACCAATGGCCTTATGGCCTTCCAGGCTTCATCACCATCACCATCTCTGGGATCAAGGTCTTGGGGAAGCCCCAAGACTCCAGTCATCATCAAATGAGGCTTGGTCCACCGTGGCTGAGAGGGGAGGGGTCCACTGTGCCCCTCCTTCCGGCACCACTAGTCTCAGGTAGGAATGTGGAAACAAGAGGAGCGAGAGAGAGCTACCAGGGGTTGCCTGGGTCAACCCCAACTCTTACCAGTTCCCAGCACGTACCTCTGCTCATCTCCCTTATTCCAATATGGTACTCTCATTTCTGCCACTTCCTGTTTCCCTATTCATCACCCCCAAATATCTTTATCCCTCATTTTTGCATCTGTAAACATTTCAAATTCTGCCTCGTCCATCGGATGTGCTGACACTTCAAGCCTACATGGATTTTTCTCTTCTGTTTCGCAGCTATATTCAGTTTCATCTCTAATAATTTCAGATGCCTATGTCTATTCTCCCTAGCTTGGATGGAAACTTCTCCAAAATAGGCATCACCACAACTTTAGGCACACAATAGATGCTCAAACAAGTGTACTGGAGAGTTGGGGAGCTAGGACATCTGGGGCGATGAGAGGGACATATCTTCTATGCAGAACATGGCTGTTTTGAACGGGGAATGACCCCAACTTACAAGGAGCATGCTATGGTTATGCGAGAATCGAATCTTCCCATTGGCTGTATTACTGGTTTCAATTTTCCCCATTTTTGAGTGAGAAGTTCTAATGCTTCAAGCCTAATCTCCTTCCTCCTTGACCAAGAGAATTATGTGTAGGTCAATCTGTTTCTCAGCTTAAACCTTTGAGACTGGAATGTGAGCTCCCTCTGGCTCCCTTGCCCCACGCATTCTACTTTTATCTCAATCTAAACTTCCAATATTTTTGGGGGGAGAGGGAGATGAATTCTCATTTTTATTCTCTGTTTTTTGAACTATGGGTTGCTGCTAAAACTGACTATATTTTTATACTGAGTCTGTACCTTCTTTTGTCTCCACAGTTGATACACACTTACTTTACTTGGGACCAAAACTTGCAAACTGTTGATGTCACTCTGCTGTTAATTGGAGCAAAGCCAGTTGGAAAGGTTAAGAATTTATACACTTAAGTTATCGGTTTTGGAGTTCTCAAAGTGAAGGAGAAGCTGGCTTTCTCTGGAAAGCTATTTCTATTGTTTTACTTCTCTTTTGCACCTGGTTAGAGCGATGATTTAGGTGGCTTAGAGACCTTGTTTTATTTTATAAATTTGTTTTTCTCAGCTCAGGTCAATTTTCTTTGTTCAGACCAGAAAGATAACACATCCTATTGGTGGAGACGGAGGAAAGGTTCTTTACTTCTTCTTTTATGTGTCCTTGTCTACAGGCTGGAATAAGAGTTAATAGGTTTGCCAGATTCAGCCAAAAGAAAAAAAAACAAAAAACCCCAAAACCCAAAAACAGGATGCCCTGTGTTTGATCTGGCAACCTTATCAGAAGGAAACTTGGTACCTTAATATGGTGTGAATAAAAAGTGTTCTGGAGACCCCTCCCCAGGAGTTTCTGGGCAGGAACAGCCTGAGACTGGGGCTGCTGCTTCAGTACTAACACAATCTTCTGTTCTCACTCCTGGGCACATGTTGGATGGATGCTCAGTATCGCTGGGGGCTAATGGGTCCTACAAAGGTGGCAGTTACTTATCTATTAAATTTTTTTTTCTTAGAAGTCAACTCACTTTGTTCTATACGGTGAGGAGTCTGACATTCAGACCCTTCTTGGAAATCTTTGCTTTCGTGGGTGGACTCTATTACAGCTGTTCTTACACTGATTGTGCACAATAATTATCTGGAACATTTGGAAAAAATGTGGATTGAGGTGCCTCAGATCCAGAGCTTCTCGTTTATAAGATCTGAGACAGGGCCTGAGGGATTTTAATTCTTCAGTGAGTCTCTGAGATCTTACTCTCAGATGCCCTGGTCTAACTCAGGATCCTACCATCACAGATGACTAGGACTGGAGAAAGGACCTTGGAAATTGTTTTCACACTTTAGAAGAAAACGAGCCTCAGAGACATTAGGAAACTTGTCCAAGGTAACAAAGTCTGAGAAGACAGGTCTGTAGATTTTCACATCAGGGCTGTGCTGTGGGTGACACTTTGAGCCTTTCTGCTCAGGGACTGTCCTTTTTAGGCTGCTTGTGGAACATCACTGCCATCACCCCAGGCCACCTCTAGAAAACCTGTTTTTCCTCTCACCTCCACCCCAGCTGCTCTGTTAAGTCTCAGCGTGACCATTACTACTCTTTCCTGCCTGATGTTGGCTCCATCTTTTCTATCTCTGCCTTAACCTTCCGGGGCC